TAATAGCAGTGGCGTAGCTAAGAATTTTCCTTAGAGGGGGTCCATACATATAAAAGCATGGGGGGGGGGGGGGGATTTGCCCTCCAGACCCCCTTTAACGAGTCTTCAGCCCTATTGCCCGGTCTTCGGCTAGGACAAATAAAAACCATATCTTCGATAATATATAATAAACATATTTTTTAAATGCATCTGTAATATGTTTTTATAATTTAGTAGATTATTCTCAATGACTTTATATTAATTCTATCCATATCCAGAATAATTTCAATAGTAATATAATATCCTTGCACAAACATCAAAACCAGAAAAATATAAATAATCATGGTATTTATTTGATATAAAGTCACTTTTAAATCTTTTGAACGTATAAAAAAAATTTGCTCTGGGAGGGGTCCAAACCCGAAAACCACCCCCGTAGCTACGCCACTGATTAATAGTCTAATTACAAACATCGTTGTTCTAGCAAAAAAAAATGAGGGTAAGATTAAATTAAGTTTCTTCATCGATTTATATTTTATAGCAGTTTCTCTTAAAATAAGTATTAATTTTTCAATTTTTTTAGAAAAAAAAATAGTAGGGGAGACCGGGGCTAGTCGAACCGACTTTTGCAAAATCTGCTATAACTTGTGTTGTTTCGTTTTAGATATTTTAAAGAAGAATATATAAACCGATAGCTATAACTATTAATCTTTAAAGGTGCCTTTTAAACATTTCGAGAATATAATCATGTTTTTGTTATTGTATTTTTTGTATCAATTTGAATTTTATTGCCCAACAAGCCCCAATAGCGGGGGTAGGCAAACCGCTACAAGGGGTTTCCTTAGACCATTAGTTTTTTTTGGCTATAATGGAATAAAATGCAGTTTTATTAATTAATATATGATACAGAATATTTTTTATTAATTTATTGTTCAAATTGTCAGAGAAGAAAAGAGAAAAGAAGAGAAGAGAAGAGAAGAGAAGAGAAGAGAAGAGAGAAGAGAAGAGAAGAGAAGAGAAGAAGAAGAGAAGAGAAGAGAAGAGAAGAGAAGAAGAAGAGAAGAAGAGAAGAGAAGAGAGAGAAGAGAGAGAGAAGAGAAGAGAAGAGAAGAGAAGAGAAGAGAAGAGAAGAGAAGAGAGAGAGAAGAGAAGAGAAGAGAAGAGAAGAGAAGAGAAGAGAAGAGAAGAGAAGAGAAGAGAAGAGAAGAGAAGAGAAATAAACATCTTGGACATATAAAAATCAGAATCTAAAGGAGATATTATGATTTTTCAGCATAAATCCTAAATACCAATCATACTGTGTTTTTTAAGATTTTGAAAGATTTTTTGCATATAAACTGCCATCCATACCTGATGTGCATGGTTTAACAAGCCTTGCTACCTCTAAATTGACTAATCGTGATTGTAATAATATCTAGATAAAATAAATACTCATATAACTTTCTCATTTTTATAAAACAGGGTTAAAAGTTAAAACTTTGTCATAAAATCTAATTTATATATAAATGATTATAATAACTTAATAAAAAAATTAAAATTCTGTCATGTAAAAAAAATTTTGAATTCTATACATCAAAATTGTATTTCTTTTATATAACATTTTTTTTAATAATTTTTCATTATAAAAGATTTTTTGTCTATAGATTCACACTAATAAAATCTACATTAGGGATAAAACGTCAACCTTCTATAGTCTATTTAATTTTACAATAGAGATTAAGAGGTTCGTCAAGCCCCGGGGTTTATCTAGCCCCAATCTCCCCTATATCAATTTATTTAATTTTTAAATGGCTTATTTGGATATTTTTAAAAAAAAAACATTATTATAAATAAATCTTGTATCTTTTTTTTGTATTTTCAAATGGTATCCTACATAGTCGTAGCCAGAATTCTGCTAAGGACCCTGGGGGGGGGGGGGGAAGAAGCAATATTAAGTTGATTTTCTTTATCACCTATTGCAAGGCTTTTGGGGCTATATTGTATTTATTTTAAAAAAATTATCAAATTTTTCCCTATTTTTTTTTCTTTCAAATAACTGATTTTATTGTGATATATTATATATATAATTTTTTTCGGGGATATTGGTAAGATAAACCATTATAAAAATTTAAAATTGTTGATAGTTAATTTGAGAAAATTAAGAAATATATTTCAAACATGTACATTTAAATTAGGGAACAGATATATCAGGAATCGGTAAACTCTTTAGAAAAAAATGTTCTTTCTTTCTTTCAACAACAAAAAAAAAACAAGAAAAAAAACTTTGTTTTTGTTTTTTCCCTCCAAAAAACAGTTTTTTTTCCTCCAAAAAAGCATTTTTTTTTATCTCTATACTTATCACGATAAATGACATCACCCTTTAATACAAATGTTTAATATGATAATGCTGATCCCAAAATTTATAATCAAACGTTAATATTTATAAATCAACATTGCGTCATTTTGTCATTTTTGGCAATTTAACTTATTTTAAAATGTTAAATGAATTTAATATTAAAAAAAACATATTTAAATAAATATTTAGATAAGATCCAGAATATTAATTTTTTAATTGTAGATCTTTTTCTTTCTTTCTTTCTTTCTTTCTTTCTTTCTTTCTTTCTTTCTTTCTTTCTTTCTTTCTTTCTTTCTTTCTTTCTTTCTTTCTTTCTTTCTTTCTTTCTTTCTTTCTTTCTTTCTTTCTTTCTTTCTTTCTTTCTTTCTTTCTTTCTTTTCTTTTCTTTTCTGTTCTTTTCTTTCTTTTCTTTCTTTCTTTCTCTTTCTTTTCTTTCTCTCTTTCTTTTCTTTCTTTTCTTTCTTTTCTTTCTTTTTCTTTCTTTTCTTTCTTTTCTTTCTTTTCTTTCTTTTCTTTCTTTTCTTTCTTTTCTTTCTTTCTCTTTCTTTTCTTTCTTTTCTTTCTTATAATGAGACCATAATTTTTAAAAACTATATATATTACAAGTTGTTAAAAAAACACATTTCAAAAAACAATAAACCCTTAAGGAAGAGTTGCTTAGAAAATAATATCTGCAGAGTTCCAAGGTAGAATCCCTCATTGTGGTCACCTGTAATTGCTTTGTTAAGAATTAAGTGCTGCTTCTTTTTAGAAACACTCCTAGAATGTTGGGTGACCATGGAATTGAAATCAATGTTGAGGCCGCCATTTTTTCATCTATATTTTTTGGATAACATAAAAAAAAATGTGAGGTTCCGACTTAGCTGCAAAGTCAATACGTCAATGCATCGGCGGAAGGTTATTCGACTAGTCCACGAGGAATATTTTATCAGGACATAAGGCCTTATCGTTTAAAGATCGTTTCTCTCATTTGTATTATGTTGTTAAAATTTAACTTAAATAACCCCCCCCCCCACCATCACCATATTAAATAATTTTTTAGTACGCTTGCGCACTCTAAACCCGTAAAGATCTTCTATTGGAAGTAACACAACATAATCTCCCTCGCATTGATATTATTAGCGATGTTAAACGGCATTTTATTAGGAAAAATATTATGCAAGCCTTAAGATTTTGCTCATAAGTGGAGCAAATGTTTGAACATCTATCAAACGAAATCTCGATACTAGTGTTGTTAAATCACCTTATTTTGACCATCTCAATTGCGGATTAATCAAACTTTTAGCATAAAAAATTGAATTAATCCTCTAAGTTGAGTCTAAAATTGAAGAATGATCGTAATATTTATGGTTAGAAACATGGCCATGCTATTTTATAGTTGACTTAAGTCAGGTAATTTAACAAAACTACTCGATACTTATTAAACAATTATTTTTCTAGCCAAAATATTGGGTTAGGAATTTTTTTTAAAATAGACTCGAATCGAGCCCTTTGACAGCACTACTTACGTCACATATCACGTGATTTTGCACCTATAAAATAATATCAATATTTGGTTAATATAGAATTTCATTTGAATCAATAAACAAACGTTCGTAAGATAAATACTGCAATTTTTAGATTACTTTTAATTGGAACGATTTAAATTGCCAAGGTCATAATTTTTAAAACATTTTTGTATTTGATCTAAATATCTTATTTAAATAAACGTAATATAATAAATATATATATTAATTAAAATCCTTAAATTTAAAATTATTTCTAATTTGACCTATTATTTTTTAAAAAAAAATTTAAATTAAAGCCAATTTTATTTTTAAAAAAATAAAAATGAATACCAATATAATAGCGTTAATAACATTTTTGACTGTTCTGTCAATGTCAACGACTGGGAAAGGTAATCTAATTTTATACATTTCTGATGATCATCAATTATTTAATATTAATTAATTTATGGAAACTTATAAAATATAATTTAAAATAATTATTATCGAATATGAATAGAAAGACGTTTTTATAAATTTAATGATAAAATAAAAAAATTGTGTTTTTTTCCGGTAACTTTCAAACAATTTTTTGAAGCTTGTTTTTTTGAATTTAAAAATCGGATTTTTAACAGAAATGTGTGCCATCATGTTTGGAATACCTTACCCTATGAATTTCAGGCAATTTTTACCATGAACTTAGGAACTTAATATAAAAATTTAAATTGATTTTCCTTAAATATTTTATATATAAATTATAAATGACTCAAAAGTGAACACGGCAAAATTGTCTAAAATTTATAAGAATAGGTATTCAAAACATGATTGAATATATTTCCGGTAAAATCTGAATTTTTTGATTTAAAGCTGTAAAAATTACATTGCAAGTATAAAAAAAACACATTGACGCTAACATATATAATTTTTATATTTCATTTTTAGTCAATTTTTTTTTGGTTTCGAAATCCTATATGAACTTGCAACTCTTGGATTTAATAAAAAAAATTGTTTAGTAAAGAGATAAGCGAAGTACCTTATAAAAACATGGGAAAATAAAATTTAAAATTTACACTTATATAACACGAACAAAACTCAAAAAAAAAATTTAAAACTCACAAAACAAATTTTTATTTAATTTTCTCTCTATATCTTTTATTATATATTCTAATAACATATATATATATTATATATTTGTAGTTAAAGCTCAAAGGTAAAATACGTGTATGTTAATATTATTATAAATATTTACATTCCTTTTACATATATTAATTTTTTTGTATTTCCAAAATTTATATTTAAAATAAAATTAATTTATTTTTGTTAGATTAAATAGATATGATTGGGTTAACGAGGTAAAAAATAAAATTTATATATTAAATACCCTATTTTTATTATAACCCTATTTTTATTATACTTTAAAAAAAAGGATTTAACTGCCCGATTTAAATCGATTTTTAAAAATAGCCCGATTTAAATCGATTTTTAAAAATAGCCCGATTTAAATCGATTTTTAACCGATTATGATTTTAGTCAAAACAATAATTGTGTAAAGATTTTCTATTTGTCAAAACGCGCTAGTGTATGCATTTTAAAATATACTTTTTTTTTAAAAAAATTAATTGTATGTCATATATATATAAATTATTGTATAAATTTGGCTTATAAATTACCCAATTTTAAGGGCTATTTGTTCAATTTATGGTTTATAGCCGACGATTGGAAGTCTTTGTGGGAATGTAATCAGCAAGGGCTCATATGTTTTAGAGGAGATTTGTAATTTAGCCTATAGCAGTTATTTGGGCTATGTTACTTTTTGCCCCAATGGTTTTCCCATCTTACCCCAAATTCGTTGGTAAAGAGTTAAAAGCACGACATTTACTTGCACCTTCAGCGCCAAATACTATAAAAGTTAGTAGGTAGTGTTGTTAGAATGCCTTATATTATTTTGGCTAAAATCTTAACTCGGCCCTTTTTTTAAAAACATTACTAAGCATTAATATAATATGTTTTCATCCTAAAATAAAAATTTTAATTTTATCGCGCAAGAGCTAAAGCGAGCCTTTTTACCTATATAAGGGGAATTGTTCTTTGGGCTTCTCTTAAATCATAATTTATTTATCTAGTTAATTCCAACTGATGCTCATGCCTTCCACGATGTGGATGATGAGAAAATGCTAAAGGTGTGCTTGATAAATCATAAAGGCGATGCGACAAAATCTTGTTACGACCTGTCAGGCTATCAATTCGCTCTTATCCCTGAAGCCGCTACTCGGGTATATTAAAAATAAAATAATTATTCCCAAAAATGCATAAAAATAGTGGTCCGGGTCTAGAATTTCTAAGCACTGAAACGGTATGTATCAATGGTGTGAATGATATTTATATTAATTACGATAAACAAAGGGGGGAAGTTTCGATTCCGAAAGAATATGATTGGCGAATAATTGGGCCAATACATAAATTGCCTTATTTGTGTGTGTCTTTCCTAAATTTTATCATGTAACGAAGTCTGATCTTTTTTTAACTTGCTGTATTAAGACCCTAAGGGGTTCTAGCATAGATAGAAAACTAGATTTTTTGTATTTTTTACTATTAAGGTAACATTAGTTATATAAGCTTGTGCATTATGTAAAAAACTCTTCATTGTCTATATAATATATTTGTTTATTTTAAAATATACATATCATATTATCAACAAGAACATATTAACAATATCGTCGTTTTAGTCCGTGTATCAAAATATAAGGGGGGCCAATAAGAAAAAAAATTCATTATTATATTCATTATCTAAGCAAATATTATTTATAGAGAACTAATACACTAAAGTGTATAATTTTAAAGAACTACTTGCATATTTTTTAATTAAATATTTATTTATATATGTGTGTTCCTATTTGAATATATAACACATTGGTATTAAGTCCAATTTTAAATCTTACAATGAGGGCAACATTTTAATTTGATAAATCTGATTTTAACAAGTATGTAATGTATATAGATAATCCACAGTGCAAACTTCAGGCAAATAAGCCTAGAATCTTTTAACAGCTTTTATATTGATTTTTCATATAAATTTTAAAAAATTAGGTAAAAGTTTATGTCGAATCAGTTTATAGGGTAGATATTCTACACATGCTGGAATGTTAAAGAGATTTCTAAATTTCCCCATAGATTCCTTTATCCTTATAACGACATATATATCATAATTTTATCGTCATAAATTTATAACCAGATGGATATCATGATAATGGATGAAAATATCTACGTCAAGGAATATTACACCGAATTCTACTTGCTCAAATTAGCTAAGGGAATAACTAGGCTAGACAACGAAGATTTTCAAAGCCGAATCAACTCAAGGAATTTCAAGATAAAGAAAAACACTTTTTTAGGCCGCTCCTATAACCCTAGTTAACCAACATTTTTTATTCATTTTTATTTAAAAAGAGTGAGATCCATCAAGTTTCATTGCTGGCATTCAAAGTAGGGTGTGGTTAAAAATGTCCGATTCTGGTCTTACGAGCCAATATTGTGTAAGCCTGGCCAAAGATTTTGGGCATCTTCTTTGCCAATTCTTGAGGCTTACACAATATTATTTTGGCTATCGGGCCGTTTTTAAAAAATTCGACTACAAATAAGGGGCTATACTACTCCCAAAGTATATTGTATTTTTTTTTGAAAAAATATTTTTTTATTATTTGTTTAGAGTTTTAAAAATGTATCTTATATATAGTATTAAATGGCTCAACAACTCAATACTTTATCCAATAAAAAATATTCCGCAACTCCCGAAGATAGATTTTACTCACAGTAGGAACAAAGGTTCTAATACCTATATTATCGAAATCTCGAGGCTTATAGGCAATATTTTTCTGGCTAAAATATTGAGTTGCCCAAAACGAGCCGTTTTACAACACTTCTTATACACGAGTAGAAGTACATAACTAATTTATTCTAGAATCTTATATCGATTATGAAGACGCTTGCGAATTGATGAAATCACCGGACAACTACAACGTCTACAGATCGGGAACTTTGTTCAAGTATAATAAATTTAAAATTTAAAATTTAAAAACGTTATTTTACGTGATCTCAAGCGATGTAGAGTTGGTACGAACTGAAGATGGAATAGGCGAGGGGATACAGTCATTTTCTCGCAGAGAGAATTTAGAGGGAGTCAAGATGGTGTACGATATTTTCCATAAGTTCCACAGAGCAGCGATTGGCGAGATGTTTAGCCAAAAGACGGATTACAAAATAGAAATGAGTCAGGAAGAGGTAATTTTTGCCATCTACCTAGTCATGAAAAAATATATTATTCATAGCTTATTCGTTTTATTATTTAATGTATATTTGTACGAACATTGATCTGTTTATGATATTTATTTTATATTTTATTTAATATATATAGTTGAGAGCTAGCGTGGCTGGGCCTTACAATTCCGTCAAAATATTCGATATTGATAACCCAGAAATGGATGTCAATTTAAACGTCAAAAATGTTCAAGAAGTTTGTAACATTAATTAACTTACTGTAATATACATTTAATATGTGGAAAAAAATAAATATTATATTGCATATATTGCAACATTTATAATAGTTTTTATTCTGTCAGTCATTGAAATGGAGATCCAGTCATGATTCCCATCTGTTAGAATATATATTTTCTTTAGATTTCTCTTAGTAATAGGGCGGATATTAGGTCTAGTTTATCTTTTGTCCAAATTCTATCATTTAGTTGAATCTTAGATTTTAAAATTTCAAAAAAATATTCAGGTTACAGAATACGAAATTTCATATAAATGTAAAATTTTTCTTTGGCGGGGCTTCCTGGTAGTATATATATATATTTTTTAAAACACAATAAACTAGGCAATAATCGTGCAAAAATCAGATGGTTTAACGTTCAACACCAGCCAAATTATTGATGGTACGGTCGTATCGGAATCAAAATTTTATCCCAATCATTTGATCGCGAGCATTGAAACATGGATAAATGAAGGGGTCACCCAAGATATATTCCCGGAAGGCTTCTATATTCGTATTTACAGAGATTACAAGAACTGTGTTCAGGCATAGACGCGAAGATCATCTTCTGAAAATATATTAACCCTAATTTTTATTTAATATGATTTTTAAAAATTGGATAAACAATCAAATTATTTAATTTTAATTTTTTTTATAAACGCAAAATTATTTTTCAATTTTAAAAAGACGGGTCATTTTTTTTTATTTTGCCAAAAATCATGCCCGATAATGGGTTTTTAAAATTATAAATATTATACGTATTACATTATATTCTATTATCTTTACCACAACTTTATATAATGATTTAAATTATTTATATATATGATTGGCTAATAATTAGTGTTAAAAGGGCAATATTATCATATTTTAGATATTGTTTTTTTTTAATATTAGGGCGACTTTTAATAAATATAAGTGCTATAATAGATAATTTAATGTTATTGTATTATCCTTTGTGGGCCAGTCGCAATCTGTGTATAGAGCGATGTCCTTGTCTATAGTGAGCATTTGCTTTTTTTCTGCATTCTTTCTTACATAGAGTAGTGATATCGGGCTGCAATAAATTGTATAAAATGGCTACATAGACCGTTTTACAGTAAACAACATGGAGGCTAATACTTGAGCAGTGAGAGTATTTGGAATGTATAAAATTTAATAGTTCAATGATAATTGGGGTTGCTTTTCGTTGGGTAAATCTTTCTACATAATTTTGCACATATATATGCCAATCAAAATATATCCCACCCACGAGGAAAAAGAAATATTGATTCTTTCAGACTTTTTTTTTAAAAATAAACTAATACCAAAAAATTTCTACAAATGACGGGGATTTTTGAATTGTATTTTTTTTAAATTTTACAATAATATCCCCCCTCCCCCTCCTCCTCTTAACAATCTCCAAATCCGCGCTTTCCTTCCTTCCTTCCTTCCTTCCTTCCTTCCTTCCTTCCTTCCTTCCTTCCTTCCTTCCTTCCTTCTTGCTTCCTTTCTTTCGGCGCCTACGTCACGCCTGCTCATTGTGCACCACTTGTAAGGACACTAAATATATTAACGCCATAATATCCCCCAAGGGGGTTTGTTTTGGAATAAATATAATTGCGCGGTTTAGGCTAGAGATTGGCAAGTTACTATAGATTTTTAATTTTTCGATAGGTAGGTATAATATGTCTTTCCGTATGATAGATGTGGAGAGCTGATTGGAAGAGGCACAATAATCACTTAAAACCACTGATAGAAACCTCATGATCGTTTTATCTATTAATGAGGGGGAGAGGGGAGTGGTTGGAGGTAGTTATAATTTTTTTTTTTATAAAAAACATTTTTAGTGCAAAATTTAAGGGAACATTTTTTAAAAATTTTGATGGAAATAATTTTAAAACCTCTATGTCCCATGGGTTGTTGATGAATTAATATTTTATAGAACTCTATTAGATAACTGAAACAAACATAAAACACGTAAATCAACTAGACTTCAAAAAATCTTTCTTTCTTTCTTTCTTTCTTTCTTTCTTTCTTTCTTTCTTTCTTTCTTTCTTTCATCAAAAAAACAAAAGAAAATATTTCATTCCCTATACTCATCACTTTAATTGACATCGCTCTTTAATATAAATATTTTATTTGATGATATGATAACACATAATTTTAATTTTAATAGATCAATATTCCATGATTTTTTTGGCAATGTAATTTATTTTGAATGTTAATAAATTTAATTTTTAAAAAAAAACATATTTAAATAAAATATTTAGATAAGATCTAAAATTAGAATTTTTGATAATTTTTTTAAATCGTAAATCTAATTTTATTTCTAGTCATGTGAACATAATTTAAAAAAAATATAAAAAATGATTTTTTAAAGAAAAAACTGAACGTGCCACCCTATAAACGAGTTGCTTAGGAAATAATATCTGCAGAGGTCGGAAATAGAATCGCTTGTGGTCACTTGTAATGAGTCTTCTTTTTTTCCAATGGCTTTGATAAGAATTAAGTGCTGCTTCCTTTTTAGACCATTCCTAGGATGTTGGTGACTATGGGATTGAAAACAATGTATAGGTCAGCTTTTTTTGCCCTATTTTTTTTTGAATAGCATAAAAAATGTGATTTGACCAGACGATAAGGAATATATATTATCAGGGCGTAAGGCGTTATAATTTATGAGGATCACTTGTTCGAGAGTAGATGAGATATATACTTCTTTTAAGGGCAGATGAAAGGAGGCTTGTTCGTTGATTTTGGCTGTGTTAGCCGCGATCAACGCCAATTGAAGGCACAAAGGCATCATTATCGTAGACAGTGAGTTATATATATGCGTAGTTGTGTGCCAGTTCATTAAGAGGGTCGGATCGGAATTGGGGACAGCTTCTAACAATTAAAAGTTGAAAGAAACATCCTCATTTTTTTTAAACTCTAAAGGTTTGCGATACACGAGAGGGACAAGCAGTTGTTAAACCATACAAAAATTGGAGAACTGCTGAGGATTTCGGCTAGATGGGATAAAAAAACAGCTGAAAGGAAAAGTTGTGGCTGTAATCTTTTGTAAGCTTGATCAGGTTCAAAATATAATTATTTGTTCGTTCATTATTTTTGGGATGATTAATAAATGTCGTTTATGTTGACATTTTTTTTTGTAAACTTTCGATGACTTCTTCCCATATTTGTTTGTTGTGTGCATAAGCCCCTACGTCATGGATAAGAAATAAATTGAAAAGGAAAAAGGAAATTCCTTGACCAGAATTTAGATCCCGATAAGGGCATCCGGGCGATATTTCAGAAGTAAATCATCTAGACTCTTACACATTACACCATTACGATCGCTCTAATATTTCTTACAAAATTGAGTATTTATTATAAAAAAAATTAGTAGATTAATAGTCTAATTACAAGCATTGTTCTAGCAATAAAAAAATGAGGGTAGTGAAGTCCAAGATTAAATTAAGTTTCTAAATCAATATATATTTTTATAGCAGTTTCTCTTAAAATAAGTATTAATTTTTTAATTTTTTTTAGAAAAAAAAAAGGGGGGAGACCGGGGCTAGTTGAACCGACTTTTGCAAAATCGGCTATAACTTATGATTTTTCAGCATAAATCCTAAATACCGTTTTCTAAGATTTTGAAATATTTTTTGCATATAAACTGCCATCCATACTTGATGTGCATGGTTTAACAAGCCTTGCTACCTCTAAATTGACTAATCGTGATTGTAATAATATCTAGATAAAATAAATACTCATATAACTTTCTCATTATTATAAAAGAGGGTTATTAGTTAAAACTTTGCCATAAAATCTAATTTATATAATAAATGATTATAATAACTTAATAAAAAAATTAAAATTCTGTCAAGTAAAAAAAACTTAGAATTCTATACACCAAAATTGTATTTCGTTTATATAACATTTTTTAATAATTTTTTATTTTATTAAGATTTTTTGCCTATAGATTCATACTAATAAAATCTACATTTAAAACGTCAACCTTCTATAGTCTATTTAATTTTAAAATTGAGACTAAGAGGTTCGCCAAGCCCCGGAGTTTATCTAGCCCCAATCTCCCCTATATTAATTTATTTAATTTTAAATGGCTTATTTGGATATTTTTTAAAAAAACATTATTATAAATAAATTTTGTATCTTTTTTTGTATTTCCAAACGGTATCCTACATAGTCGTAGCCAGAATTCTGCTAAGGACACGGGGAAGGAGAGGGAAGAATCAATATTAAGTTGATTTTCTTTATGACCTATTGCAAGGCTTTTGGCTATATTGCATTTATTTTAAAAAAATTATTAAATTTTTCCTTATTTTTTTTCTTTCAAATAACAGATTTTAATATATTATATATATTTTTTTCGGGGGGAATTGGTAAGATAAACCATTATAAAAAAAAAATTTTAAATTGTTGATCGTTAATTTAAGAAAATTAAGAAATATATTTCAAACATGTACATTTAAATTAGAAAACAGATATATCAGAAATCGGTAAAATCTTTAGAATAAAATATTCTTTCTTTCTTTCAACAAAAAAAAACAGGAAAAAAACTTTGTTTTTGTTTTTTTCCCTCCAAAAAAAACAGTTTTTTTTTTATCTCTATACTTATCACGTTAAATGACATCATTCTTTAGTGCAAATATTTAATATGATAATGATGATCCCAAAATTTATAATCAAACATTAATATTTTATTTATAAATCAACATTGCATCATTTTGTCATTTTTGGCAATTTAAATTATTTTAAAATGTTAAATAAATTTAATTTTAAAAAAAACGTATAAATTGTAGATCTTTTTCTCTCTATCTTTCTTTCTTTCTTTCTTTCTTTCTTTCTTTCTTTCTTTCTTTCTTTCTTTCTTTCTTTCTTTCTTTCTTTCTTTCTTTCTTTCTTTCTTTCTTTCTTTTCTTTCTTTCTTTCTTTCTTTCTTTCTTTCTTTCTTTCTTTCTTTCTTTCTTTCTTTCTTTCTTTCTTTCTTTCTTTCTTTCTTTCTTTCTTTCTTTCTTTCTTTCTTTCTTTCTTTCTTTCTTTCTTTCTTTCTTTCTTTCTTTCTTTCTTTCTTTCTTTCTTTCTTTCTTTCTTTCTTTCTTTTCTTTCTTTCTTTTCTTTCCTTCTTTTCTTTCTTATAATGAAACCATAATTTTTAAAAAATATATATATTACAAGTTGTTAAAAAAAGCACATTTAAAAAAACAATAAACCCTCTAAGGAGGAATTGCTTAGAAAATAAGATCTGCAGAGTTCGAAGATAGAATCCCTCATTGTGGTCACCTCTAATAACTTTGATAAGAATTGAGTTTTGCTCCCTTTTGGAAACATTCTTAGGATGTTGGGTGACTATGTGATTGAAAAAAAAATGTTAGGCCGCCATTTTTTCCCCTATATTTTTTTAGATAGCATTAAAAAAAAATGTAAGGTTCAGACTTAGCTGCAAAGTCAATAAGTCAATGCATCGGCGGAAGGTTATTCGACCAGTTCATAAGGAGTATTTTTATCGGGACATAAAGCCTTATCGTTTAAAAATCGTTTCTCTCATTTGCATAATGTTGTTAAATTTAACTT